ATGTACCCCCAAAAATAAGTTATGGTTATTAGGAGTCCCTTCTGAGTTCTGTAAAACATTTTAAATGCACTTGCCCTGTGACCTCATACATTTGTACTTTTAGTAAGCTTCATGGTGAATCCTATGAATCTTATTAGTTACTGCAAAGGTTGTTTTAACTCATGTATTCTATTATGCTGCATGCGTCAGTAGCTTTGCTAGTACAAAATGTGCCTGGATGATAATTAGAAAGTCACTGTAACCACTTCAGGATTTTTAACCTAGGAGCAATGTCTTCTAGGAAGTGCCTGCTACATTTAGCCCCTCATCCTCTGCCACCACTCCCCACACCATTATTACTGGCAATTACCGGCTGCCAAAATTATAGCCAGGAATTGCTATGTATTGCACAGCAGGAGGTGTGACCTTTGATCTTCATATGACATCAATTTAAGAAACCCTGCAAGTGAAAAAAATGCTTTTTAATAAAATGTATTTAACATCTTATTAACTCTAACTGACTCCTTCCTCCCCTAAGCTATAATGTTTCTGCTGATTTTTTTATGCCTATTTTTTAACATTAATATGTTTCAATTTTTCATAAATTTTGTTTATTTTATATGCTTAAAAAAAAAAATGAAAACAGCAATTAACTTTGCCATACTTACTTTGTATCAATAACATAATGTTTGTGTCATTTTAAATGGGACAAATCATCGAAAAAAATGTATACCTCGTATTTAAGTTAAACTACATTTTTTAAAAGTAACACTGGTCAAAATGCTTAAAAATGCATTTTTTCATTTTCAACTAATTTTTGCAAGGCAATATGGTCAAAAGAAACTCTAGTTTGCCCCTCCCCCCCCAAAAAAAATGTATGTACCTTTTTATCTTACGTAAAGACTATGTTATTGCTGAATATACAGGCCTATAGTAGAAATGTAAAATGTATCTGATCTATAAGGGGTTTACATGTATAAAAGCTGAAATAGTTTCAAGGTGGCTGTTTTTACTGCTGAAACTAGTAAAAACAGATGTGTAGATTTTGTTATCTGTCTTATAGAAGCTAATTGTTTTGGCATCATTCTTTGTGGTTGTTGGAAATGTAATGACATATTCTAATATACCGATATAATTGTATAATTTGTCTTTTGAGCTGTAGATGGCTATCTATGATACACAGGAAGCTGTTTTTTCTATCTCTGTTTTCCTCACAATGCTGTATTTAGATGTAATTTTCTTCTAAGCAAGTAAAATTTAATTCAGTATTCCTCAAGATCTCAGTGCTTCATCTAAACACATGTTATAAGCCCAGGCAGTAAACAGAATACTGCAAGTCAACAAGAGTCGCATCTAAGCTACTGAAAGATGGCAAGCAGTTCAGATATGAAGTTTGCAGTTTCAAAGTTCAACAATACCAACTACCAGCTATGGAAGTTCAAGCTTGAAATGCTGCTAAGCAAAAACGACTTGTGGCAAGTACTGAGTATAGACAGACCTACTAATGGACCCACGGAGGAATGGGACATGAAGAACAGGCAAGCAAAAGCAATTATAAGTCTGCTAATGGAAGACGACCAGCTCATCCACATTAGAAAAGAGAATATAGCCAAAGGTATGTGGACTGCATTACAAAAGCTGCATAAGCGTTCAAACCTAAACAAGAAACTATATCTACTATGCAAGTTATATAAGAGGAGGCTAGAACAAGGCCAGGAAATGCGTGAACATGTGAATGCCATGCTGGAAATCATAGAACAGCTATGTGCAATTGGAGAGGAAATTAAAGATAACAACGTGGTAGCATTACTGTTATGCAGCCTTCCAGACTCATACAATGCTCTAATTAACACTCTAGAAACTAGACCTGAGCAGGAACTAACACTAGAATATGCCAAAGGAAAATTAATCAATGAAAGAAAATATGCACAATGAAGAAAGCAAAAAAAGCCCTTAACCCTTTCGCTGCCACCGACGTAAGGCATACAAAAGTGTTCCCGGCTGGCCAGCTCAGTATGCCTTACGTCGGTGGCATTTACAGTTCTGCTATAAGCTCATGGTCGATTTAGCGACCATAAGCTTATAGCAGAACTGTTCAGCAGACTGTCCCCTTCAAAATAATAGCTGTCATCAGCGGCTCACAAGCCGCTGATGA